GATGCCATGATCTTAGTTTTCTGAATGTTGAGCTTTAAGCCAACTTTTTCACTCTCCTCTTTCACTTTCATCAAGAGGCTCTTTAGTTCTTCTTCATTCTGCCATAAGGGTGGTGTCATCTGCATATCTGAGGTTACTGTTATTTCTCCTGGCAATCTTGATTCCAGCTGATACTATTTAGGAATTGCTTCATCTTTTAAGATGCAATAATGATATTATGGTTTTACAAGAGAATAGGAATTCCTTATCTTTTAGAGAGTCATAGACAAATATTTATGGATAAAAAATTTTAGAAAAAGAAAATATGAATACTTTTTTTAAAGGTAATGATAAATATTACAGCACAATTATGATAAATTCAAATAAATAAGGAAATAATAAATGTTAGGAGAAAGAATGAGGAGAAGGAGAAGGTCATACAACCTTCAACTGTATGTGTGATATTTTATCTAGTTAGTTATGTTAAATGTATAAACCACACTGATGAAACCATTCATCTCTTGCAGGTCTCTTCCAGTCGACCAGACCTTTCTGGCTTTGACGATGATGATAAGGTGTGTGCCTGTGGGCATGGCCAGGTTATTAGTGGGATCTAAGTCTGGAAATTTAGTTTATTTTGGTGTTTTTAAAATCTCTGAACTTCCCACCTTAACTTGATGCAGATCATTGTCTCCACGTGTCCATTCCCAAGTTCAAGTACTTGATGTGAAATTGCTATGCCCTCTGAGTATTACATTGTTACTTAGCATGATACGTTCCATATCAGGATCATTGCATACATAATCAAATAAATATGTGTTTATGGGTCTAACTCTAAATGACTACATCCACCATAGCAAAATCAAAATTATTTCAAATGGGGAAAATTAGGAACTTGAAATTAAGGATATTGTACAGCATTATCTTATTCATATGTAAGTTATTATTCTGGGGACTATAGATGATTCAGAAAATATCAAAACAGATTATGCCTTCAAGCATTTTAAAATCTAGTCCTTAGAGATGACATTTCCTGAGAAGCTGAAGTAAGGTTAGTTAAGTGTATGATAAAAAGGAGATTTCCCCCTTTAGTATACCAATATCTTTGCAGGCCTGAAAAGTTTTACATATCAAGTTTATATATAGAGTAACCATACCACCTAATTTGCCTGGGGTAGTCCAAGCTTATGCCAGGCTACCTAGGAAAAATTATCAATGGAAATGTTTCACTTTCAAGTGTTGTAGGTTGATCTTTAAATTATCTGGTCATCTTAGGTACATAACAAATTTATAAAAGTGGAGCTTTAATGAGTCCTGTAGGGGTCCAAAAGAGGATTTCACTATATCTGTAATGATTTTATTAAATCTTGAACAAATAGAATAAACTACCAACATTCCTTCACTCTGGGTATAACCTTGGTTATGATAACACTGGTCATATTGTCCAGTATTTTTCTACATGTTAGATCTATTTTATAATTTAAAAAAAAGAGCACATACTGCCATAAAAAGAAATAGGAAAAAACTCCAATCAGGAGTTTTCTCATTTTAGAGGAATGTAATTACACTTAACCCGTGTTTCTACCTTGTAGGGTTGGCCAGAGAGCCAGTTAGACATGTCTGACTACAGCCCGAGTTACCAGGATGTATCGTGTTATGGAACTTTGCCTAGGGATTCACCTCGAAGGAGTAAAGAAGGTAGGGTAAGAAATTTTTTTCTGTGTTATCTCTCTATAATTTCTTAGGAAAGGCGTGGGGGAAAATTCTTTTCTAGATAGCATTTAATAAGATAGAAAGCTGAAATTCTAGTTTGCTAGATGATCCCAAAAGTGTCTTCTTGAATAGAACATATCCTGCTCACTTATTTAATTTTCTTTTCTTTGTATCCATTATATCATCCAATTAATAATAGGCTTCTTGTGTAGCACTTGTAATTTTCAAATCACATTTCATATATCATTTCCTGATTTTGAAATCAGTTTTGAGACACATACAAATCTTATTATTACATTATGGTTAGAGTTCGTTCTTTACCAAAAGCATATCCACCTCCATCATGGTTTTGTGCTCAAATCAAAGTATGTTTTTACAATAATATGTCTCTGACTCCTAAGGAAATTTTAAAAAATGATACCAGAAATGAATTTGGTCAGTGACATCCTTATTGCCTAAATATGTAATTTCCTAGTGCCCTGAAAGGAATAGCATTCTTAGAATTTTTCAATCAGCTCTGTTACTTTACCTGCACCTTATATTTTACCTACTATGTTCCTTTGTACCAGTGAATTGAAGAGAAAAATATAGAAGGAGAAATAGAGACCCCAAAAAGTAAAAAATGAGTAAAAGCAAGAAAAAAGGAATTGTCCTTCCGTAGTCATATGGAGCAAGGTGGCTTGAGGGAACAGTGGCTTGCGAGAGAACTCACGTAGTACTCGGTTACTGAGTTAAGATTGAGCCTCTCCTTGCCTTATGCAGGGACAGAAACCAAAAGATGCCAAGATCTTAAAATCCAGCTGTGAAAATGAGATATGTAGAAAATAAGCCAGTAAATCAGAAAATGCCAAAATGCATTTACAGATAATACGGGCTCTGAGAATTCAAAGAAATAGAAAATCAGCGTGAGTTGAAATTGGTCTGTGAAGTGATGCTCAAGCTGCATCTTGACAAGAAGGTAGAAAATTTGGTTTCTGATTTCTTTGCTGCTGTCCAGGCCTTCGATGATTCTTTTTAACTTTGTAGATTCATCTCCATTCTTGCCGACCTATTTTAATGCTCAACCAAATACAGCCATCAGTCAGTATCTGAGGGCCACTGGTTCCCAGAGCCCTTGCGTACAAGTCCCATAGTCAGTCCTCCGTAATCCTCGGAGGCAAAACCCTGAGGCTACTGAGGGCCAACTGTACATTTAATGAAAAAAAATCTATGTGTGAGTGGACCCATGCAGTTCAGACCCACGATGTTCAAGGTCAGCAGTACTCACACACAGATTCTTTTGTTCCGCCAGATATCCCTTCTGGCTCCGTCCCTGCCTCGCTCCCTGTGGGTTGGTTTAAGTGCTGTGTGCCTGTAAACCCGTGCCTTTTGTCTTCCCCAGGTTGTACATCAGAGAATCCTCATGCCTTAACAGTCAGCCCTTTCAAAGCATTCTCTCCTCAGCCACCAAAGTTTTTCAAGCCCCTAATGCCTGTAAAAGAGGAGCATAAGAAAAGGATAGCACTTGAAGCAAGGCCTCTTCTAAGCCAGGAGGTAAATGCTTGACTTGTCTGTACTGTGTACAATAGAATGGACGCTCTGTGCCCCTGCAGAAGTAACGCTTTGCATTAACACAGTCAGATGCCGCAGGTTGGCATGTATGGGTTATCACCCCATGGATCCTGTTCAGAAATAAATAACCTCTTTCTCAAGCACACAGGGTCATGGTAGAATTTCTTGCTTGTTGTTATTGCTGTTATGTTCCTTGTGCTTATGGCTTTTTTCAGAGTATTTCAAATGAGAAAGAGATGTTCCCTCGGTGTTTTGCAGATAGAAAAGACTTTTTTTTTAATGTGATAAATTCAGTTATACTGTTTGCATAGAATCTGTGTAGTCTTGGGAGATTTTCATCAGTAGCTGAACTCAAGCCTACAGAACTGTTGGCTGCACTAACACGTAATACAAGTGTTTGTATTGCTTTTCTAACGTGCACGTACATACTTAAGGTGTGTCTCGGCCATGGCCGTCTCCTGTGTGATGCATCTGTGTGTCTTAACCTTTGCAGAGCATGTCTCCACCTCAGGCACATAATCCTGGCTGCATTGTGCCCTCGGGAAGCGATGGCAGCCGCATGCCAGTAGAACTCAATAGCAAACGTGAGAAGAAGATTGTAAGTCTGGAACCATTTCTGTCCTATTGCCTGGTGGTGGGTTTAAGGCCCTTTCACAGACAATCATCCAAATACTTTAGAAGAAATTAAGAGGTGTATTGAGTCTTGGCTTTTTTTTTTTTTCTTCTGACACATGTGACCATCAGTAATGAAATTTTGCATGAATGTGGCTGTGACCTGTGATTTTTCTGTGTTCCATTTACTGATTTATTATTATTTTGCTTAGTATAAATTTGCTTAGAAAGAAAAAGGCACCCTTCATGATTCTAGTCTTTCAAATGTGTAACAATCACTTGAACTAATATTGAATCTTTCTAATGAACCTGTACATGTTGCCCAGATTCTGAAGTTAATCTACCTTGAGGAATTGCACTTACTTGGAGTAAGTAATCCTGCATTTAGGTGTGGGTGTGTGATAGCTTTTCTTGCGTTGCCTGATGCTGTTGCCAAGATTATCCTGTAGTTTGTTGCTGCTCCGCCATCCATCACCGGCCACCCCCGTTATCTGGATCTCTCAGGTAGCCTCTTTACATTCGCTGGCAAAATAGATTCCAGCTCCCTCGGTGTCAGCCTTGCTTTCAGGATGGCTTCTCTGTATTTTACCATGGGTAGGTTGAAACTCTACCTTAAAAACCTCATTTCCTAGCACTTGGTTTTCACATTTCAAATTTGAGAAATGTTTTTTAGAACACGACATACTAGGCACTGGGGATCATAAGTGCCACCTCAATTTAAAAACAGAAGTGTGTGCTCTGGGGCCTGGAGAGAATTCTCAAATTCTATGTCTCAGCTTTCGTACTCCTGTGGTTCCCCAGGCTTCGAAAATGGGAGGCAGCTTGGAGCAGGAGGGGTCTGCTTGCTGCTCTCGTCTGCATGCGGTCAGTTCTGCGGGCAGAGCGTGGGCCCTTGCCTTCCCCAGCTACCCCATGTCAGATTGTCATCAGCGCGGGGTCTTTTGTTTGAACCTCTAGATTCTAGAAGATGCTGCTGATGCACACGGTGTGATGCTAACTAGAACCTCCCCCTGGATGTGCAGCAAGCCAGGCTCCTGCATGCTTGGAGCGCTCGGGGATCATAAGAAATGAGCTGCTCATTCTGCCTGTCCATTGAGGAAAGAAGGAAAGGCACCATTGTCCCCTTCCGTCTCTCTCTCTCTCTTCCCCACTTTGTGCTCTCTCTGGTCCCCTCCCTAATCCCTGCGGGAGAAGAGCTTGTACACCAACAGCTGCTCCGCGTCTCCCCCAAAGTTAGCGAGCTCTCCAGTCACACACTCGACTCCCCCTGCCTAACCTAAGGGCTGCAGCCTGGGCCAAAGAGCGTGTGTGCGCGCGTGTAGTCGCTCAGTCGTGTCTGACTCGGCTACCCCCTGGACTGTAGCCCGCCAGGCTTCTCTGTCCATGGGATTCTCCAGGCAAGAGTACCGGAGCGGGTTGCCACTTCCATCTCCAGGGGATCTTCCCGACCCAGGGATCAAACCTGCGTCTCCTGCATTGGCAGGTGGATTCTTTACCACCGCGCCACCTGGGAGGGCCCAGGTTAAAGGAGCCAGGGCCTAATTTTGTTACCGCTTCAGTTCTCTGGCTGGCTGACTATCTGTTTATTGACATGGCACCCACCTACACAGTGCATGGGTACTCCATTGTAACCTATCTGAACCATACGTTTTGGTAGAACACACCATCAAGAAATTGCTGGATGGCCCTTCAGGGCTGCCCTGCAGATAGTCTCACAGTTCACAATCTGCTTCGTAGTTGTTTTCTTCACTTTCCTTTAATTATTTTAAAATAAAACCCATCTCAGGACTGTTAGCTAGCAGAGAGTAGGATAGAACTAGATTCTCTTGATCCAAGTTCTGAGCAGCAGTTAGATTCTCTGTGATCAGACACACCATGAAACCCACTAATCAGGGTTTGATGGAGCCATTTTTCTTGCTGAGGTCTTACTTGAGAGACTTGCATCTACTTTCTTAGAAATCTGGCTCACTGCAGACTTTTCATCTCTGAAACTATTGAACCATTTGATTTATTTCAGATAGCAGCTTTTCCAGGATGTTTCGGTAGATTTTAAGGGTATTACTTGCTTGAACTGAGGTTCTAGTTTCTGTTTGGGAAGCTTTCATTTTATTTCTCCTCTTATAAGTGGATATAAACTGATTTATTCCTGAGTTCCTATTCACTTTCTTTCCTTTTCCACTCTTAGAAAAATAGAAGGCAAATCAGTGGTTCAGTCTGATCAAAGGAGTTTGAAATCATGTTGAGAAGCAATATGGGGACATTGTTTCTTTTATTTTTCAGCCCATCCAATTACCAAAGTAACCTGTCATTTCACATAAAATATAGTAAATATAGCTGTGCTTGATTCTTCAAGCAATATTTTGTTGTCTCATCCAATTTAGGAAGATAGACAAATGTACGTTGTGCCTTCCATGACTAAGATAAAAGTAACAGGATGTCTTTGCAGTCTCTCTTTTAAAGTCATGAAGCAGACAGAAGAGCAGAAAGAAAGTCAGTTCTCCCTCTCTTGAATCCTGCACAGACAGCATATGGTTTTTGTCTCTCATCTTACAGAGGAAGAAACGCGAGACTTGTTGAGTGATTTGCCCAAGGTCTCACAGTAAACGAGAACATGGGAACAAAAGCCCCATCCATCAGTAGAATGGGCTGACATCCCAGTGACTCCCGGGGCTCCCAGTCACAGGGCAGTTTCATCACCCTGCTGCTGCTGTTTCTTCAAAGGGTCCACCCTCCCCTTAGTACCATGGACAGAAGTACTAGGGACCCTTGACTGATGGAGTCTTTCTGAAAACAGAGACCATCAGGTAGATAACTCATGAGAATGGGAGTGCAAATGACTTTCATCAGGGAAAGTCCTTACAGAAGGTCACTGCTTTAATGTGAGTTTTGATTCTCCTTAAAATCAAGGTGTTTCCTCTAGAGGTAAATATCAGCTGCATAAACTGAATCTCAAAAAATCAACTCATGAACATAATAGCCTCAGAGAAGCAGGAGAACTTGACTCTTGAGTCCTACTTTTAGGATGAGTTTTCACTCTGTCCTTAAGACATAGTAGGGAGGTGCTTAGTTTAGTCTCCTTTAAGGTAAATGATAAATAATATCTCTAGCATAAAATGTTTCTAATATGTAAAATGGATAAACAACAAGGTCCTACTATATAGCACAGGGAATATATTCAGTACCTTGTAATAACCTATCATAGAAAAGAATATAAAAAAGAATGTGTGTGTGTGTATATATATATATATATATGTATGTATAACTGATTCACTCTGTTGTACAACAGAAACTACCACAGCATTGTAAATCAACTATGCTTCCATTTAAAATTTAATAAAATATACAGAGTGAAGAGATCCTGCCAAAAAGAAAAAGTCTGTCTAACCAAATTCCTTTAAAATTCAGTTTAAGCCACTTAAGTCCTCTTTTCTCCTTGGAAACCATAACTCCATAAACTTTCTGTTTCCCTTTACATGTTGGAAAATGATTAACCTCTACTCAGTTTTATTTTTTCTGGAACTAGTTGTTCCTATTCCTTTAGCCTTTCTCTTTAGGTCACTCCCAACCCCACCCCAGGTGCCTCACTTTGTCCTGATCCCTATTTGTTTTTGTAGACCCTTCAGTCTTACTAAAGTCATTCTGAATTGTTTATCTTTCTGATTTTAATATATGTATACCTATTTCTCCACATTAAATTTGTGATTGAATGTTTCACTCCGCAAAGTTATATTTTAGGTTGACCTTTCCTCGGTGTTTAGAAGAAATAGCTGCAAGCATTAAAAGGGACCCAGAATATTTAATTCTCATCTTCAAATTTGGTTTTCTTCCAACAACTAACTTTTTAGTAATCAATTGCGTCATGTACTCTTGGGCTTGGGGATTACACTTCTTTGCCAGCTTCAATTAGAAGGAATTATAAGAGAAACAAACACTTGAAATCCAATTTGGAATCTGAACAAGTCTAGCAGTGTGTGTGCTAAATTGCTCAGTCGTGTCTGACTCTTTGTGGCCCCATGGACTGTAGCCCTCCAGGTTCCTCTGTCCGTGGGATTTTCCAGGCAAGAATGCCGGAGTGGGTTGCCATTTCCTACCCCAGAGTATCTTCCCAACCCAGGGATGGAACCCTCATCCCTTGTATCTCTTGCATTAACAGGCAGATTCTTCACCACTGGGAATGAAGTCGAGTAGAGAATCTAGAAAATAGAGCGAAGGTTACAGATGCAGAGAGTTCTGTCCAATTTGTGCCCTTTTTTACAAACGTTTTCCCCAGCCCCTGGGGAGAGCACTCTCTACCCCACCCCCGTTGAAACAGTGCTGTTAATACTTGATTAAAATATAGTTAAAGATAAGAAAGCAAGGTCAGTATTGCCAAAAATTTGGTTTGCTAATTTCTGGAATTTTATCACTGATATTTAATAGTCACCTCTGATTAACAGTCAAGGAATGAAGACTAGTGATACTTTTAAATCATTTATATTCAGACTGTTTTAAAATCTTAAGAAACATTAAAACACAGCAAGCTATTTTTTAGGTATTTAGCATCTTGTGAGATAGGGAGTGTTGCTGTGAAATTCAGTGGATGAAATTTATGTTCATTTGTGAATTCCATTTACTGTTTCTGTGGAGTGAGTTCTTCCTTCCCTCCCCATCCTTCTCTCTCCCCAACCTCTTCGCTCTCTTGAAATGAATAAGGGTAATGTTTTCAGGTCTTTACAGTCACCGTGTTGTTTTACTGAGTGAAAGGTCATCCACCCAGCAGTGTCCAGGGATGTCCTAAGAGCAGGGCCCCACTGTTGTAACTCCCCGAGGGCAGGGGCCATACCTGTCTTTGCTCAGCATTGGTGTTCCTGGTTCTTTGGACAATGACTGGCACGTAGAGGATGCTTAATGCATATTTGTTGAACGAAAGTCACATTTTAGAAGAGAAACGGAATACTTGCTGTGTCATCAGATGTTTATAAGGTTAATTAGAAATGACTGGATAGTAACAGGCAAAAGGAGGAGATGGCGACAGAGGAGGAGATGCTTAGATGGCATCACTGACTCAATGGATGTGAACTTGAGCAAACTCCGGGAGATAGAAAAGGGAAGCCTGACATGCTGCCTGCAGTCCATGGGGTCACAAAGAGTTGGACACGACTTAGCAACTGAACAAGAAGATAATACTATTATTTTTCATTTGAAAAGTGTCCTACATTGTTTTCCACCAAATATAAAAGAATCATTCACTTGGGAAAAGAGAGTGGAAGTTGATAATACCTACTCTTGCATATTTACCAACCTTTATAAACAGAATCCTAAAGCTGTTTGACAAAGGAAATTTTCATGTAATTCATACTGTCTTCCTCACCTTGTAGTCAGAGGCTTTATCTCTGCTTCTCAAAAACCCTGGAATAACAGTCATTGCCAGATTTAGTATTTTACACACAGTGTTTGGTGGAATACTGAGAATGGCTATTGAAATTGTGTTCTTTGCCCTTTTGCTATTGTGGGGGCCTTTATTTCCTGCTTTTCCTTCTCATAGTATAGCCCAGAAACTGTTTGCAAATCATCCTATTTTTCTGTACTCTGCTCCCCGAGGTGAGGATTGTGAGAATAAAACAGCAGCTCTTCCCAGCCTCTGCAGTCCCTTTGCTCATTTAATTAGAAAAGGGAAAACCTCCAACTGGAGCTAATCATGAGGAACTAATCAAAAGGCCACTGCACTTCCTTCCATCCTTGCCCTTAAAGCAGGAAAGGTTTCTAATTATTAGCATTGAGTGGGCACCGAAGAAATAAACCTCCTGCATCTTGAATGGTAAGCGTTTCATGCTCATAGATCTCTGAGGATAAGGTACCTGTGTCCACAAACAGGTGACAGGATTTAACCAGACTCAGGAAGGAAAAAGAAAAATTTCTGAACGTGTGAAGGCCAATGGCTTTAACAGTCAAGTATTTGAAACTTGTCTCAACCATCCAGTCGCTGTGAGGAGCTCATGGCTGACTTGCTTTGTTTCCGTAGGACTCTGAGGAGGAGGAAAACGACCTAGAAGGTCTCAGCCGGAAGCTGATAAGTTCACAGCCTTATGTACCTGTGGAGTTCGCCGACTTCAGCGTTTACAATGCCAGCTTGGAGAACAGGGAGTGGTTTTCTTCCAAGGGCGATCTGACGAACTCAAAGGCCCTAGAGAAGGAGGTGTCCCGCAGCCCCACCACCAGCAGCATCACCAGCGGCTACTTCTCCCACAGTGCCTCCAACGCCACCCTGTCCGACATGGCGGTCCCTTCCAGTGACAGCTCAGATCAGCTGGCCCTTCCGCCGAAGGACACAGACTCCAGCGAGCATCCCGGACCGTCCCTCGTGCAGGATTTCAGACCATCCTCACACAAAGAGTTGACAGAACTAGAAAGAGGCTCGGGAAAGGAAAAGATGACCGAGGTGCCACTCAAGGGAAACAGTGCCTTAGCCAAAGGGAGCCCATTGCCCCCCAGCATCCCAGAGGAAAACTCCAGAACCCCCTGGAGGACCAGCTCGTGTTCAGAGCAGGATGCCGGCTCCAGCAAACACGGCCAGCCAGCCAGGGAGTTCTGCCCCAGGGAGGTGACCGTGGAACACACCACAGACATCCTCGAAGATCACTCTTTCACAGAGTTTATGGGTGTGTCAGATGGGAAAGATTTTGATGGTTTGACAGATTCTTCTGCTGGAGAACTTTCAAGTAGGAGGAACCTACCAAATACGACAGACAGCAGGAGTGTCTCACATGGGCCACAGGACCCTGGCCAGCTGTGTTCCTCGGCAGAGAATGACCAGGTGACACATTCCAGGGGTGGTCCTTTGGGTCCCGTGGTATCAGTGATGGCCGCTCATTATGCCCCAACCCCCAGAGGCCCTTCCTCACGGTGACTTAGTAGGAGAGATTCATCCAGGTGTTTCTGACAGGGTCCGTGAACCCTCTTGAACCATGCTCACATGCTGCCCAGCTAGCTGGCTATGGGGGAACACATCTGTAAGTCTACTTTCTTAGTTTCAGAGGGGAACTATGACTTACATAGGACCCGTGGCTTTTTTACCTGACATATAGGTTCCTGTTGAATTAATCATTCACATGGATAAGGATCAATCTCGTATTCATTCCCTGAGATGTTTAATTCCTGGCTATCTCAAAGGATTCTGATATGAAATGTGGTAGATTTCATCAAATCAGTGATTTCTTTTATTAGATACACCTTTTTTTTTTTTTTGCCAAACCGTGAGACATGTGGTATCTTAGCTTCCCAACCAGGGATCGAACCCATGCGCCCTGCATTGGAAGTACAGAGTCTTAAACCACTGGACTGCCAGGGAAGTCCCGAGATACACCATTATTTTATGTATCATTAAGAAAAAAAATACTTCCAATTAAAACCAACCATATCAGCAATTTCAGAGTTATAAAACACAGGCAGGTGGAAGGTATGCCATACAGATTTGATAAAATATAGATGTTTGGTGCCCATAGGATAAAAAATGCGTTGGGGAAACAGAGGTGGGTTCCCTGAGAAATTAAAGTTTGGGCTTTGGAAGTTACCCAGGCTGGGTTTTTACAGTATTTAATTTTAATAGTGGAACAACAAAAAAAATGGGGTCTTGCTAATATTCCCAAGGAAACTAGTGAATTACGTAAAAAGAGGTGATGTGCTTCTGAGTACCACTATCCCTTCTCATCCAGGACCACTGTTTTGGTCCCAGACCCCAGCCGCAGCTGTGTAAAGGGTATTGAAGCACCAGGCTTAGCAAAACAAAGAGCTCTCAGAACTAGGATGGCTCTGGGTGAAGGCAAAGGTGATGGGGTGCCCTTCAGTCTCCCTGTTATGCGGAGGAAGCAAAACAATCCAGTTTGGTGCTATTTCCTGCACCCCGCCCCAAGTTTTCTGAATAAGCCCTTAAAATTTCAGTCTGTGGTCACATATATAGCATATTCATAAATAAACTGCAAATACCAAAGAGTGGTCTCTTTTACAACTCAAAAAAGACTTCTTTGCCCAACATAAGCATAAAGTTACTCATTACTTTTCTAACAAGCTAAACATTCATTTGTTTCAAAGTCTTCAGCTTCCTTTTACACTGACCTTAAGCAGAATCTGCTTTGCTAGTACATCAGCTTTTCAGTCCTTTTCCCAAGAAGTCCAGGAAGAATGTGGTCCAGGGGTTAATTCTTCAGTCTGGAATAGTGCTTCTCAAACCTAAATGCGCAATAGACCCACTGTGGGGTGTGGGGAGAAGAGACTTCTTAAAAATGCAGATTCCCAGGGGCTTCCCTGGTGGCTTGGTTGGTAAAGAATCTGCCTGCCTTGCAGGAGACCCAGGTTTGATCCCTGGGGTTAGGAAGATACCCTAGAGAAGAGAATGGCAACCCACTCTAGTACTCTTGCCTGGAGAATTCCATGGACTGAGGAATCGGGCAGGCTACAGTCCCTGGGATTGCAGACAGTCAGACACGACTGTGCGACTAACTATTCCCTGGTGACTTAGTGGTAGAGAGTCCGCCTGCCAGTGCAAGGGATACGGGTTTGATTCCCGGCCCAGAAAGATGCCACATGCCATGGAGCAGCTAAGCTCATGTGTCCCAACTAGCGAGCCTGTGCTCGAGAGCCCAGGAGCCAAGATGGCTGCAGCCCGAGTGTGCTAGAGCGCATGCTCTGCAAGAAGAGACGCCGCCACCACCAGAAGCCCAGACGCCGCAACTGGAGGGTGGCCCTCACTTGCTGCAACTCGAGAAAAGCCCGCACAGCAACGAAGACCCAGCACCCGCCAAAAATAAATACGTAAATAAAATTATAACAGCAGCAAAAAAGTACCGATTTCCAGTCGCGGCTGCCCTGCACACCTCAGATTGTGCTTCAGTACCAGGTTGGGGGAAAGCTGTTTTCACCAACCTTCTGCTGGAGGAATATGGGGTAGGCTGTCTGAGGGCCACACTGTTTGAGGCACGGCCCAGAGAGGAGGGAAGGGGACCACGACCCCCTCACCCCTTACTCCTTGTTTTGTGGCCTCGATTATTTAGAAGCCAGTAACGGGAGCAGTACCTGAATTCTGCTCCAGAATAGCGTGTCCCTGCCAAAGATCTTGGTTTAAAAGTGAAATGTACAAAAATATTTATTGCATCAGGGTAATAATGTTGGAAATATGGTGAGTTTTATCTTTTTTTTTTTTTTTAATTACTTTAGTGTTTTTGTTATCTTGGTTTTAATCAGTTGTTTCAACTGTGTTAAAACCGGAGGACTTTTGAAGTCCTCAGGTTTGACTTTTGTTCTCACCCTGACTTCTGGTGTGGGCCCAGGAGTGACGTGATTTTCACTCTCACTTTGGGGCTTGCGGTCATTACTTTTCCTAGAATCTTCACCTTGGAGCTCGATTCTTCCCAGTACAGTGTAAGCTCCAGAACTGGATTCCGCAGTAAACTGGATCCTGTGGTTTCTTCTAGGAAGAGCCCTTCATGGGGAGGGGGGGCCGCCCGTGGGTGGGGAGGGCTGGTGGGGACCGGAGCTTGCACTCACCCGCCTTTGCGTTCCAGGGGAGCACCACTGCTCGGTGAGAGGCAGTGAGCACTTCTTCCGAAGGCCACAGCATCTCTGCTCCGGTCGCGTCCCAGAGCACCAGCCCATCTATCAAACACGCTGCGGCCCGGCCGGACCTCACACCAGCGCGGAGAAGCCACGGCTTCCAGGGCCACCTCCTCCCCTCTCCCCTCCCGAGCCGGGAGAAGCGGCACTTTGTCACTCGGGTGACTCGGCAGCCTCTGCTTCCTTCCAGAGAACCGAAAATCCTGGCTTCACAAAGTGACAGTATTTTTGTTTGCACTCACTACACACCCCCACGGTGTAGAAACCTCCGCAGATTCAAACAGACTTTATTCTTGTACAATTTTAATCAGTTCTTACTGTAGAATCTGGAGTCAATGCTCTAATTTTTTTTTTATAAATAATATATATTATGTATATGAAATGTATATCTATAGTATGTCTGGAGAGACAGGACTGCACACTAAAATGGATAAAAGTGGTTTGTAGAAAATCGTAAGGTACTGGACTTTCTTACAAAGCAGCTCGGGCGATCTCTCAGAACACAAGCAGATGAAAGAGATGGTCTTGCCTGAGAATGAGGTTGCAAATCCCTCTTTGCAGCAAAGGTTACAGAAGGCCGTTCTTTATAACCAAAGAACTTACCTGAGACTGAATGTTTTTTGCTGTCCACTCTTGTTTTGTGTGTACATACGTGTTTGACTGCAAGTTCGGTGCCATATGCCCTGTGGCTCCCAGGCCACGTGCTGCCGTTCTCTGTCGCGTTTCCCAAGCACACTGAAAAATCTCACAGCTCCGTTCTTTGGTCTTCCACCTGGCCCGCCGCCTGCTGACTTGACGCGGTTCGGGAACCCTTGACAGCGACTGGGGCTCTGATCCCCGCCTTTCCTGTCCCTCGGTCCAGCCCAGCCAGGCAGGCAGGATGCAGAGAGCAGTATTACTCTAAGAAAACACAGGGAAAAACCAAGAGTGGGGTTGGGAGGGTGGGTGTCGGTTTTCGTCTCTTTGTGGTTTCGTTTGGGGTTGGTAGGTGTTTGTTGTGGTGTGGTTCTGCCGTTGTCTTATTTCATTTCTGGAAAACGCTGAAGGGATGACAGGAGCCGTGAAGTCCGCAGGTGCCCACTTCACAGTGTTCGCAGGAGATGGTTGAAGACAGATGACCCTGCTGTGTGTCTTCATTTGTAGAATTCTTTTACTGATGGAGACCCTGAAGAATTATGTGTGTGGAAGTTTTTACAAAAGTGCTTTCTGTACCTATTGTGTAGATGCTTGTATAGCTGGTCCAGATGTAGAGCAATAAATGTGTCGTGGGAGCGAGCGAGGGTGTACAGCCTGCTGTACCTTTGCCCTGGAAGTTCATAGCATCCGTAAATGAGTAAGATATTGGAGATTTTAATGCGAAGCTGCTGTTCATGATTTTTGTGTATAGTGAGCTGACTGTAGTATTTTACTATTGACTGTTTAAAAAGAGAAAGACTGTAATTTATATCCCCTTTCAACTTTATTGTATTTAATTGGTACAGATTGTGTGTGCGTGTGTGTGTTTTAGAATACAGACTGTCTAATTCCGATTTTAAAACATCCATTGTTTGTCTTTAATAACACTGCCACTAGTTTCAGATCAATTTTCCAAATTTGTTTGTATGCGAGTCCTTGTGACTTAAATAATAATAGTAACAGCAAACATTCATTGGGGGTTTACCATGTACTAGGCACTATTCCCACCTTTTGATATTTATCTCGCTTAATCCTCACAGCAGCGGATGCCATGGGTTCTGCTGTTATTAAGTGTTGGATAAAAGGAAAACAGAAGTGGAGTGGTTGGCGACAGGGAGCAAGCGGCAAAGCTAGGATTCAACCCAGGCTTCCATCAGCATCTCCTGGTGCTGGGTCTGGTGACGTGGCGTGGAGGGACGGGCCCCCGAAGGGAGGGGAGAGCAGGAGGGCTGTGGCAAGAGTCCCAGGTCTGGACTGAGCGACATTAGCAAGGAGCCCGTGCGGCAGACAGGCCGCGGTAGGTTACACGAGGTCCCGACACTCCAGCACTTCTTTAGAGGAAGGAGCAGGGCCTGCCACCCCGGGAGCAGTGGCACATGATCACTTCATCTGAAAGAGTTATTTAAAAATGGTTTTCCAGAATCCTTTCAGAAAAAGTTCCATTCACAAGAGCCTTTCTGATGTGATCAGGAACTAGTTCTAGCCTGTTCTGGACAGACCGTGACTTTCGTAGATTTCCAGGAGAAAGTAGATGGGGAAGAAAATTCAAATTATTTTCATTGTATAGAATGGGAGTTGGGGGATGGAAGCAGCTATTTAATGTTTAAATCATGACAACCACAAATACAGTTTAAGACAAAAGAAGCAAATTGTCACTGCCTTTACTAGTATGAGATAAGTGGTATTTGGTCATGGGTATTGTTATTTCTCATTGGCTATGGGAAGGCACACTGGTTTTAAGATGTTTTGGATAGTTAAACATAGCCCTATGTTTACCAGTTCATTTCCAAAGTACAGTATTACTGCTGTCATCGCATTGGTTTATCATTGTTTGGACACACATTTAGCATAGCAAAAATTTAGCTTTGTGTTTCTAGGGCACCAACTTGTGGGAAGAAAACCTGTTCATAAAAAAAAAATACCTTTAGGATAGCTAAGGGCTAGATATGGTCTCCTAAAAATTTCTCTTTCTAGCCAATACTTACTTTGAAAATTATAATATTCAGCTTTAGAACTGTGTTGGGGGAAAAGGCAACTATTACATGATTACTCTTTATTTTTTAAAAGTAAAGCTTTCTGGTCATGTACATTTGAACAGTCTTCAAAGAAGATGTAATGGAGTAAGAGTTCTTGCTTTTTTTTCTAGATCAAGAGATAAAAGTAGAAAAGGATGCTACCAGTACACAACCACATAGAGATTTTTGTATTAAACCTTGAACTTACTGTACTAGCACAAGTGTCTTTCTGTAATATTGAGCCTACTTCCTGAATTTAAAAAAAAAGACAGGAAGTCAGTCTGAAATGTATAGTAGTTTGTCTCAGGGTTTCTCCTAACCTGGAGAAAAGGCAGTCTATTCTCATGCCCAGACATCTGGGGGTGGACAGCATCCTGCTGGCAGGGGAAACTAGAATGTGGAAGATACCACGAAAATGCCAGGAGGCAAGTTCTGCCCTTTAATACAGTATGAATTGGAGCTAACAGGAGTGGAAAAATCCCAAAATCTTCCAATCAACCTGCTCATCCTTTGTTTCTAATCCTCTGAGCTGAGGGGAAATATAATTGTGGGCTCGAGTGCCACTTAATAGTCTCTCTCTTTTTTTTTTTTTTGCGGACTCTGAGTTAATTTAAGTTGAAATAAAAACTTACTCTTCATCTTCCTGATGTTCTCAGACATACACTCACCTCTCTGTATTTTTTGGAAAGACAAGTTATTCTCCCTTTTGTGAGGGGTGCCTGGATCATTGTGTCAGTTCTAAGACTGGAGCTCAAGAAGATGCTTGGGATGGCTCAATCTGTGGAATCTGAGCCCAGCCAGCCACGGCCACCATCTTGGAGCTTATTACTCTGGGTATCTCATCGCCAGGTGGCCTTTCTGAGAAAGGAACTCTCAAATCGTTGTGAGACCCTATGTATGAAGAAGACATTGAGATGCTGATTAATAGAACAATAAATGTTTCACATACAACAAAAGGTAAGTTAGAACTGGAGTCTGGGGAAGAAGATCAACTTGAAGGGGGCTAAAAGTCCAGTTTGGTTTAGAATTAGAATAGCACAAATCAACTTGACCCTTTCATGATACCTAAAACACTTGTAACTGTTTATATTTTAAACCCAGACAACATTGGTGTTTATAACAACTTTGTGTACCTGAAGCAAATCATATAGGGATGTTCTTAGGTTTGTTATTGTTTGTCTTTTCTTAATCTAGCATGTGTTTGGGGAACTGTCACAACAGAGTAGATGTAATTTTCTTTGACTGAAGGTCCTTGGAGAATGAATCTGAGCCAAAAGCCCCACCTTTGTGTGATAGATTAGTTACACTTGTTGAATCAGCATAATCTTTACCAAGTGTATGGTTAACCGCAAGTAATCCAAGCTCCTTAGAAACACTGGAGTTAAAGTACTTAGCCACAGCAACAGCCAAGAAGAGAGCAGTTCACCGAGAATGATTTAAGATCTAACCTCAGCACCACTTGTGTCCAAGGCCGTCTTAGTAACAGTATGAGAATCCCAAGTTATCAACACTTTTTTTCCAGTTCTTCTACATGTAGTGGTGTATATTTGTGAGAAAGCCAGTGCATTAATGCCTAGTGCAAAATGAATTACCCTTAAACTCAGCAGCTTAAAACAATACAAATTTATTATGTGACGATTTCTGCAGGTCTGGAATTCAGGCGTGGGCACTTGTAGGTGGTTCTGCCTCTACCTGCTCATGAGGTTGCCATCAACAAGTCAGCCAGAGCCGCAGTTATCTGAAGGCTTGACTGGAGCTGGGAGGAGGACCCACTTTTCCGGTGATTCAGTCACGCAGCCTGTGAGCTGGTCTTCCTCCCCACACGGGCCTCTCTTTGATCTTCGAGTGTCCTTCCCCGTGGTGGCTGACTTCCCCCAGAGTGAGCAGCTCTGGAGAGCAAACCAAGCCACGGAGCCTCAGATGTCACATTTTGTCAATCGTACCGTGTTCTGTTCATTTGAAATGAGTCAGGAGTCCAGGGTAAAGAACTGGGCTGTTTCATGTCTTTTCATCTTTTTTTTTGGCTGCACCGTGTGGCTTATGGAATCTTAGTTCCCCAACCAGAGATAGAACCCGTGTCCCACTGCGGTGAAAGCATGGAGTCCTAACCAACTGGACTACCAGGGAATTCCCAGACTCTGCCTTTTGAAAAGAAGCGTCTAAGAATTTGTAGGCATATTTTATTTTATTTTTTTTTTTTGTAAGCATATTTTAAGACGACCGTAATTTGTTCAGAGTTATAGGCTGAGGCCATGGGGCCAAAGTGAAGCTAACTGGAATCTATAAATGAAAGTGGGAATCCAGCTCATTTATAAACAATGAGGTCACATGGAATAAAAAGGGAAAATACTAGAATTATCTGACTATGTCCGTTATAGCCAGTAATCATACTGCACCAATGTTTCTGGTAGATATTTCCTGGCAAATGATCAGGAACTATTAATTATGCTTCTATTTATAGTTATATTTTCACCTTTGATTCTTTTCAGATTTGCTTCATTAGAGGAACAATGAATAAATTTTATGGCTTTGCTCAAAATAGAAAATGAATCTTGGGAAATTCAAATACATTACTTATGAAGGCAAGCAATACTAGTGATTTAGCTTTAGAAATCAAACTGCCAGCAAAAGAAGAGTTCATGAATCTAGTAATCTTTTTTTTTGGTAAAGATACTGAGAAAGGTAGGATTATTTTACTATGAAAATGTCACACATATCCAAATGTTTGGAAATATGCAAAGGGGTTGGTTTAAGGCTCTTGAAGCTTGTAAAATAAAACTTTAAATCCAAAAGAGGATGACTGGGGGGGAAACTTCCAAATAAAGGGACTTTTAAAGATCATTTAAAGAAAAAACAGATTAGAAAAGTAAAAGTAGGTGAACAAAAGGTGGTACAGATATGTAGAAAAGGATTCTGAGTGGTTTCTTCCTGTTTAAAATTTGCCCAGTTGTGTCCGACTCTGTGACCCCATGAACTGCAGCCCACCAGGCTCCTGTCCATGGGATTTTTTCAGGCAAGAAAACGAGTAGTTTGCCATTTCCCTCTCCAGTTTAAAATTCAGTTCAGTTCAGCTCAGTTCAGTCGCTCAGAAGTGTCCAACTCAGAGTAGGGTAAATATTCAGTCAGCTCAAACCCTGCTTTAGGGCTGTTTCTCCCTCTCTCTGTCCCCAGACCCTGCCTTCCACCCTGCCTTCTAGTCCCCAGATGGGTCTAGAAGCACCTTTAGTTGTTCAGTCAGCCAGGAGAAACGCCTGTAATCTGTTGCCTTCTGCTGCCTCCTGCTGGCCCCAGGGGGGTGTGTGTGTGTGTGTGTGTGGGTGTGTGTGTGTGTGTGTGTGTGTGTGTGTGTGTGTGTGTGAGTTGCTCAGTCGTATCTGATTCTGTGACCCCCATGGACTGTATAGCCCGCCAGGCCCCTCTGCCCATGGAATTCTCCAGGCGAGAACACTGGAGTGGGTTGCCATGCCCTTCTCCAGGGGATCTTCCTGACCCAGGGATCAACCCCAGGTCTCCCGCACTGCAGGCAGATTCTTTACCATCTGGGCCACCATACCCCAGCTGAACAATAGCTTTTGTCATCTTAATTTGGGGGCACAGATTTCTGCCTTCATCCACCGCTGTTGTCCGTGATGGTTTGTCCTTTAAGAGATTTTCTGCAGGCTGGTTGTTCGCAAGAAACCTGGCAAATGTCCTCTATTGGCCTGCTTCCCCCGCGGGCCTTGCCCTGGAACATGTGAGGCTCAGCTCTTCCTGCTCCAGGGCTGGCTGTCCAGCACACAGCCCCTGCCCTGGCACTCCTGCGCCATGCCCACGCATGGCGGGTGAGCCCTGGGCGGTCACAGCGACTTCATGCTTCTGCGTCACTCGTGGTGTCTTTCAGGGACCACCTGTGCCACAAGAATGACCAGCGGGGTGCTTTCTGGAGCCCATCGCTTCCGTCCATCCAAGGCAAGGCTGGCAGGGCGCCGGCAGGGAGAAGCAGACCTCAGCCTCACCCATCTCAAACTCCCTCTCAAGCTGTCCTAACTTCTACGGTTTTCCTAACGTCTTATCCCGAAGGCTTGGCGAACTGGGTTTCTTCTCACAGACCAAGAGGCATCCCCACAGTGCTCTCACCATTTAATTGCCTCTGTCTCCTCTCTCCTTCCCTTCCTGTCTCACAGGAACCGCCTTTATACCACAGAACCATTCTCTCGACACTCTGACTCATAACAAAATGCTCAGACCTCCTAGCTTTGAATACATAAAGGAAGGCTCTTGGAATTAAAACAGCTCTTTCCTCGTTCAGTGAAACTTGGCTCTCAAGGTTACTTATCACCTGGGTGAGGTCTGAAAGCCACGCTGTGTTCAGGAAACTACCCGCCCCTCTGTGAAGGCAGGCATGGCTCTGACAGACTGTGGAGAACCAGAGGGCACCATGATTTGTAGGCAAAATGATACCTGTGTTTAATATTAACAAACATCCCCATTGCATCATTACTGAGCATAAAGGACTTCGTATGTAGCATCTCCTGAAGTCATTTCAGCAACCCTGTGAGGTAGATACTGTCATCACCCCCTACTTTGTAGATGAAAAAATAGAGTCTTAGGTTAAGGATTTGTCAAGATCATAAGGGCCAGAAAATGAAGGAGCTGAGCTTCAGATCCAGCAAGATGGCCATATTCAGGCCGTCAGTCCCCAAATCCTGTCCAGAAGAACTGTATAGTGGTTGTCCCGATATATTTGACTCCCAGTTTTTTGACTTTCCAGCGGAAAAGGGAAAACTACAGGCGGTGTGGCGTTCCTCCTTCCTCCTAGTCAGAGGCTTTGCTGTCTGCACCACCATTATTGGTGATCTCCAGTCTGTAAGGAAATGAAACAGAGGTCCTAACTAAAGGTTGGGACATCCCCGATGATTCTGTAAAGGGATAGGTTGGATCATTCATCAAAAAATAAAAAACCAACAACTTAAAAAACTCGAAATAATCGAGCTTATTCTAGTTTAAAATCACTCAAGGTCAGACGGCAGGTGAATGGCAGCTTCAGACCTGATGTCTGTCTGATGTCAAAGTCCAGCTCTGGACTTCCTGGTGGCTCCGATGATAAAGAACCCTCTTGGAGTGTAGGAGACCTGGGTTCTGTCTCTGGGTTGGGAAGATCCCCTGGAGGAGGGCATGGCTAACCACTCCAGTACTCTTGTCTGGAGAATTCCATGGGCAGAGAAGCCTGGCAGGCTACAGTCCATGAGGTTGCAAAGAGTCAGACATGACTGAACGACTGATACTTCACTTCAAGGGGTGAGTTATATTCTCAGTGGGGGGCAACTACCCCCCCAAAAAAGGCCAGATCTTTCTGTGGATTTACGTTCGTCCTGTCTGACCTGACCCCAAGCACATTTTCAAGCCTACTGCTCACTGGTCATCCCCTTGCTCCAGGATCCTTCTGCTGAATTTAACTATCTGAACCATGCTTAACTGGATCTCTAAGACTCGTGCTTTTTCATGAAGAGAGCAGTGGAATAGCTTCAAAATTCTGAGAGAAAGTCAATCTGTACTTCAGTTTCTGGTTTGTTAATAATTCAAGAACAAGGGCAAATAATAACATTTTAGGCTGAGACAGAATTTACTACCTATAGACAATCCCACTGAAAGTCGATTAAAGGAAGTACTTCAAGAAGAAGAAAATTAAACCCGGAAGGAAGGAATAAAAGCCAAGAAAGTGATGAGCAAAGACACTGGCTGATATATGGTTAAATCTAAAGAAGCATCAACAAGGAATTCCCTGGTGGTCCAGTGGTTAGGACTCCTGCTTCCCCTGTAGGAGGCCCAGGTTTGATCCCTGGTCAGGGAACCAAGATCCCACAAGCTGCATCCTGCGGCTGAAAAACAAGCAAAAAAAAAAAAAAAGCACAACAGAACAAAACTTGTGTGGAAGTGTGAAAATGATGTGGGATAAAAATATTGTCAACCGTTGAGAGGTGTGATTACAGTGAAAGTGTTCTATAGTGCTTATATGTCCTGGAAGAGGAAAGACTGATCGATTTCAAATGATTTGTGTTAAAATGGAAGGAAGGAAATGTTACAGCTTTCCAACCAACAGCTGGGAGGAAAGGCAGAGAAAACAAAACCATTAATCCATTAATAGGCAAAAAGGAAGGGAAAGGCAACATAGAAAAAAAAACAGGGTAGATAATTAACAAGATGGTAAATCTAACTAAATCCATAATCACAATATTTGTTCGTTCTTTCAGTCGCCCAGTCATGTCTGACTCCGCATCCCTATGGGCTGCACAAGTATTAAACTTACCAGTTCTGTCAATCCTTTGTTGCACTGATGAGAAATAAGAGATGAACGTTAAGAAGAAACAGTAATGTATATGTTTCAGTGCTATTCTCTCAAATCATATTGGTATATGGCAAAAACCATCACAATACTGTAAAGTGATTATTCTCCAATTAAATAAATTTTATAAAAAAGGAATAGTAAGATTTTTTAAATTACTCAGTGAAACCAAAGACCACATCCCAAATAGTGTAAAACTCACTGGAATTTGAGTCAGGAGATATCCAACCTGTTAACTAAGTCACAAAGTTGTGACCTCAAGTATATAGCCTAACCACTGTGGATCTCAGTTTCCTATAATGAAACACAAGACTATCTCAATAAAAAACATATTATATGAATAAATAACAGAATGGAAAAAATGCTTCAAAATCTGGCAAGCCATCACAGAGAGCAAAGTTTTTATCTAAAGCATAAATACATAACACAAGTATTGAGAGAAAGTCAGTTTTCGGTCAAGAGTGCACTTGTTGGCAAGACTTGCTGATGAAGTCTCCCTGGGGATTAGGTCCATCCAGGCCAAATCCCCAGAGCAGGTCCAGAGCTCATCAAGGAGAAGCAAGTGGCCCTCTTCCTCCCAACTCCCACTAGAGATAACAGCTGTCACCAGCCAGGGCCACTCTCCACCCCGAAGGAAGCATGGGTCATCATTTATGTAAACAATAAAGCCCCAATGCAATGGACACTGACAGAGCTGAAGACAGTCCACTCGTGCGACTGGCTTAAGCAAAACTTGATGGTTGGTTTCAACCTGTGAAGTCTGATTTCTTTGGTTCCTAATTCCATGTCTGTGTTGACCTTTTAGGAAAGAATTGGATACTTTGGGCAGGAAAGCTAGCTTCCTTTATTTACAGCATCTAGCAGCATGCTCCGTAGACAGTTGGTATCTGTTATAATATTTCCTGATCAATCAGCTTTGAACAGATACTGCTGCTTAATCGACTTTTTTTTTCCAATTTTATCAAGATGTAATTGATACATGACACTGTGTAAATTTAAAGTGTACACCATGATTTGACTAAAATCATGAAAAGATTATCANGATTTTCAGTTAGTGTGTCTATTATCACTCCCTAGGATGTAACCCTATAAGAGCCCCAGCTTAGCTCAGTACTCCTAACCTCATTGTAGAAAAAAATAGGCCAATGATATTGCCAACCTGACACATCCTACCTGGCCATATTCACTTTTTAGAAAGGTGAACTGGTCTCTCCAAATAAATTGACGGTGTTTAACAATAATTTAAACAAATCAATACAAGCAATTTTTTAAAGAACCTTCCTTTGTAATTTACATACAATGGGAATACATCTTAATCGTATAAGCCTTTCTTCTGGAAGTATCCCCAAGCTGTGAAAAACTGAAATGCTTAGATCTGCTGATGATTCTTCCTAAGAACCAAGCAGCATCTAGGTCTCTGGGAAACAGGTTTGAAACCGGGCTCCAAAGAGCTCTGGTAATGTCTCAGCACAGAGGAGAATTCAGCAAGAGCAAACAGTAGATAAGAAGTGATTTATTAGAATAGGATGCTTGTGAGGCTGACAAGTGGGTGGGTGAGAAATGCTGCGTCCCAAGAATTTACTGGGCTACAGTTGTACAATAAAAAATGTGGGGAAGGGGAGAAGAACTTCCTTCTTTTTCTTGAGTAGATATCATGCTTCCATCATCAGTTCCTCCTCCAGGTTGAGCAGGGGAGTTTTCTTGTGAGGAAGATTCCCTGGAAAAGGAAATGGCAACCCACCCCAATATTCTTGCCTGGGAAATCCCATGCACAGAGGAGTCTGGAAGCCTATACAGCATGGGGTTGCAAAAGAGTCAGACACCACTTTAGCGACTAAACAACAGCACACAACATCCCTAGATACTATATCCTAGGGGTCATTAACTTACTGAGCTCACTGGGAAGTTGTGGGTCTCATGTCACCAGTGTTTTATTGTTTGGGGGCAAGTCTTGTGCTTCCATTGCATGGTTTTGTTGCTAGGGAAGCCTGCCTGGTTTTGTGGTTAAGCAAAACTGCTCTCTTGAGTAATTATTAATTACAGGGGTCTCCCATGTTTTTTCTACCTACAATCCCCTAGTGGGATTAACTAATCATCTAGTTTTCCCCTGTATTCTGCCCCTATCAGTTTTGCATTTGAGATAGGATGGAAACATGTTGTTGGATGGTCCTGTTTGGTGGGCTAGACTAAGATTCCCTTCTTGGAACATGGACAGGACACTGAAGGATGAGAAAACTGGGATAAGAGATAAATAAGAGGAGATAAGACTCTTCAACATCCTCTCGCCCTCTTCTCTTTGAAAGATGAGTACAGAACTCCACACTAGATCTTGGTTTTATGCAAGGAACTTTTAACTTGAAGTTGCCACAGCAGGGATAAGAAAGAAAAGGAAAGAAGGCAGAAGATGTGGGAAAGAAAGGGGAGTTGTCCCCAGAAGCAGGCCAGTGGACAAGAGTAACTGAGCATGTAAGAAAAATGTCCAGTTTTTAAAAATACACCTTCCTAGATTCAACCCTAGAGATGCTATGCATCTGGGTGGGATCCTGACATTCCATGTTTTAAATGCTTCCCATCTGATACTGATGCCATATTTGGGGACTCCGTGGAAAAGCAAAGTTTGTGTCCAAACAAATCAGGACTTAATTCTTAATATCTGACTTTGGGGGGGGTGGAAAGGAGGAATAGGGCCTGAGGATGTTTAAAGTGAGTTGGTTAAAATACTTCCTTCTGTTCTAGCCTTATCCTCTTTCTCCCTTCCAAGCAAAATCTTTTGTATTCATTGTTGGTGTGGTGGTGGTAATAAGTAAGGGTGAAAAGGAATGATCTTCCAAGTCTCCCCAAAACCTAAGATCCTTAGGGGAATCGAATATGTAGGAAAAATATTGAGAGCTGGAGGGATGGGCCATGCCCAGAAAAAGATGGTCTAGGCAGAGGCTATTCAGAGGGTGGAAGGGAAACAAGAGGACACAAATGCCTGGAGTCCTCCAGAGAAAAGACGTGCCCTTCCCTAGGGGAAGATCCCTGGGGAGAAGGCAAAACCTGAGATAGTAGGATTTGATGGCAAAGAGCATCAGGCTTCACTCCCCAAAGCAGATGCCCTGGGGTGTAAGGGGACCCTGGTGAGGGATGGGTGACCCTGTGCATCTCAGCCCAGTAGGAAGGAGAGCAAAGCGGGCAGAAGGCCAGGAAGGCAAGGTGCCTTGGCAACAATTTGCAGGGCCAGAGGACATCAAGAAACAGGTGCCCCGCCCCTGCAGCAGGGCATGCACCCTAGGAGCAACTCTAGGAAAAGGCAGTGTGTTGAGACCTGACTTGAGAGTTTATGTTTGTGCTACCTCTAAAAAAATGGGGTTTTGGAACAGAATCCTGTTGAGTTAAAGAAATGGGAAAATTCCTATTTATAAATACATGTCTCGAATACCTGAGTCATGGACACACTCATGTCAAGACATATCTGCTGCACCAGAAGCTAGTCACATGAATAATAGCAGCATCCCGTAATAATCCACTGAACAGCCTGGGTAGGTATTGGGCAGGTATGATGTGTTGTAGAGTTTCCTACAATTCTGGTCCATAGACTGGAATTCTAAGCTGAAGATCACCTGTTGTAATCTTTAGAGTTGTAAGTAGAGTTGTAAGTCGCTTCAGCATGCATGCAACTCTTTCTATCTAATTCAAGACTTTCAAATAGGGTTAAAAAGCAGAGCGGCCAGATTTAGCAAAGAAGTTGTCCCATGCAATATTTGCACGACTGGGACATTCTTATACTAAAAAATAATCATTCAAAAAAATAATAATTATTATTCATTGCTGTTCTAAAAGGCATGTTTATCTGGGCATCTTCTAGGTTGTCTGGCAACCCTACAAAGAAGGGAACTCACAGGTGAGGGGGCCCACTAAGACATCTGCCACTGTCCCCTGAGCTGGTTAGCCGAGCTCTCACTTCACTCCAGGAGCCCTGCCAAGGCCCTGGCTGAGAAGCAGCAGCTGGACAAACCTTGGTGAGAAGAGGCAGGAATGTCAGTGGGCTGAGCAGCTTCCGTAAACATCTCAGGCTTCACTCCCTGCACCTGCCCACTGGCAGTGGGAAGTTCTAGAATGCTGCCTGGATTAAAGAAAGGAATGTAGGTTTTGAAATCAGTCAGACCTGAGTTCAGAGCCCATCTTGTCAACTACCAAGTATATGACTTTGACTGAAGTACTTTAACCCTCCTCTTTTAGCCGACTCCCTACCAGACGCTTTAAGGATGAAGGAGAGTGCATGAAAAGCACGCAGTGAGGTGCATGGCGCTGGATTCACCTCAGTGCTATTATCTCACGCGCTTAGTTACTAAGTAAGCTTGTGTTGCTATTTAGTCGCTAAGTGGTATCTGACTCTTTGCAACTCAATGGACAGTAGTCCGACAGGCTCTCTGTCCATGGGATTTTCCAGGCAGGAATACTGGAGTGGGTTGCCATTTCCTTCTCCAGGGGATCTTCCTGGCCCAGGGATTGAACTCACGTCTCCT